TCTGTTCTCATACTCAGGCTGGGACACTCTCAACTATGTCACTGAAGAGATCAAGAATCCTGAGAGGTAGGTACTGCACCACCAATTTTCCATAGGGAGGAGCAACAGATTTGAAAGATTTGTGGAGGGCAAGATACAGGCACTTTGGTCATTTTGTGGGGAATAATGACAAATACAGAAAGGTCTATAGTGATAGACTATATGGCTCTGCTGATCCTAGTCAACATTTTAATTTTTTTATTTAAAAAAATTTGTTTGAAACAGAGTCTTGCTCTGTTGCCTAGGCTGGATGCCCTCTAGGGGAGGGCATCTCTGCCCTTGAGGTTAACTTGCAGTTGCCTCCATATTATCCTAACCCCATGGTCCCCTCCTGTCCCCGGCCCTGAAGCAGGAGGTTGGGCTCCACTTCAAGAGCAGTGCACTTGGCTGGGCTCTGGGGCCACTGGTCAGCTGTATCCGCTGAGGTGGGAACAAAAAGCCCTGTCAGCACTGCTGCCTGCCATACTCATTTCCTGCTCCCACAGCCAAGAGGCCCTAGAGGAAGCTGGGCTTTGAGGAAGAGGAGGACTAGCTCTCTTCAGTCAGTTCCCTCTGCTCCCTGGTTTCTTTCTGTAGGATTCCCTTCCTCATTCAAACTGAGCCTTCTGTGCTCAGTACAGAGAGAAGATCAGGGCTAGAAAGTGTGTCAGTGGCTGAGGAATCAGGCTCAGGAATGGGGGAGGTGGGATACTGGTGGACAAAGAGAGGGATACATATGGATGGATAGAGAAGTAGAGAAGAGTCTGGGCACAGTGAGTCACACCTGTAATCCCAGCACTTTGGGAGGCTGAGGCGGGAGAGTCACCTGAGGTCAGGAGTTCGAGACTAGTCTGGCTAACATGGCGAAACCCCGTCTCTACTAAAAATACAAAAATCAGCCAGGCGTGGTGGTGCATGCCTGTAATTCTAGTTACTCGGGAGGCTGAGGCAGGAGAACCGCTTGAACCCAGGAGGCGGAGGTTGCAGTGAGCTGAGATTGTACCGCTGTACTCCAGCGTGGGGAACAGAGCAAGACTGTCTCAAAAAAAAAAAAAAAAAAAAAAAAAAAAAAGATAGCAGTAGAGAAGCAATAGGGATTAAAAGGTAAACAAGCCACCCAGGTGCCATGACTCCTCCCTATAATCCCAGTCACTCCTCAGAAGGCTGAAGTGGAAGGATTGCTTGAGGCCAGGAGTTCAAGACCAGCCTGGGCCACATAGCAAGACCCTGTCTCTAAAAAAAGTAAAACAGCCAGGCGCGGTGGCTCACGCCTGTAATCCCAGCACTTTGGGAGGCTGAGGAGGGCGGATCATGAGGTCAGGAGTTTGAGACCAGCCTGACCAACATGGTGAAACCCCGTCTCTACTAAAAATATAAAAATTAGCCAGGTATGGTGGTGGGCACCTGTAGTCCCAGCTACTCAGGAGGCTGAGGCAGGAGAACTGCTTGAACCCTGGAGGCGGAGGTTGCAGTGAGCTGAGATCGCACCACTGCACTCCAGCTTGGGTGACAGAGGAAGACTCCGTCTCAAAACATAGAAATAAAAAATAAAACAAATTAGCCAGGCATGGTGGTGCACACCTTTGATCTCAGCTACTAGGGTACCTGAGATGGGAGGATCCTTTGAGCTCAGAAGTTTGATGCTGCAGTGAGCTATGATTTCTCCACTGCACTCTGGCTTATTTGACAGAGTGAGACCCCCATCTCCAAAAAAAAAAAAAAAAAAAAAATTAGGGCCAGGTGTGATGGCCCATGCCTGTAATCCCAACACTTTGGGAGGCCGAGGCGGGTGGATCACCTGAGCTCAGGAGTCTGCGATCAGCCTGGCCAACATGGTGAAACCCTGTCTCTGCTAAAAATACAAAAAAATTAGCTGGGCATGGTGGCGTATGCCTGTAGTCCCAGCTACTCGAGAGGCTGAAGCAGGAGAATCGCTTGAACCTGGGAAGCAGAGGTTGCAGTGAGCTGAAATCATGCCATTGTACTTCAGCCTGGGTGACAGAGCAAGACTCCATCTCAAAAATAAATAAATAAAAATAAATACATAATAATAAAATATAGGCTGAGCACCGTGGCCCATGCTGTAATCCCAGCACTTAGGGAGGCCGAGGTGGGTGGATCACCTCAGGTCAGGAGTTTGTGACAAGCCTGGCCAACATGGTGAAACCTCGTCTCTACTAAAAATACAAAAATTAGCTGGGTGTGGTGGCGCACACTTGTAATCCCAGCTACTTGGGAGGTTGAGGCAGGAGAATTGCTTGAACCCAGGAGGCAGATGTTGCCGTGAGCTGAGACCGCACCATTGCACTCCAGCCTGGGCAACAAGGGTGAAACTCTGTCTCAAAAAGAAAAATAAAATAAATAAAATAAAATATAAACAAGCCATGTATTTCCATTTCAGAATCTGCTATGGTAGTGGGTGGTGAATTGGTTGCTCGTCCCTCCTTTTCCCTGCCTACATCCCTGGACAGAGCTGAGAAGAGAACCTCGTGGCACACGGCTCAGATTCTGAGTCTGAACTAGAACTAGTCCTGTAAGCTTATTCCAGTTTGGTGTTGTGACCTATGGTTACCTGGCAGGGAATCATAAATTTGTATTTGGAGATCCCATTCCCCTGACAATGTGGCAGCATCCTTTGTGCCTGGTGTTTCTACTTGGAAACCTGGCTATGTTGTGGTTATGAGCCAGCCACAGAGCCTAGGATAAGGGCAGAGGTTACAGGCTGGGGAGAAGGGGCACTAGGTTGTTGAGTGGCTGGAGGCTGGAGTCCAGTGGGGAGTAAAGGATGGGTGACTGAGGAGGAGCAACAGATTTGAAAGATTTGTGGAGGGCAAGATACAGGCACTTTGGTCATTTTGTGGGGTGCTGCACACTAGTGTCTTTAATTATTAACTTAGCACTGGGGTGGCCTGGAGCTGTGGGTACATTTTTGCCCAGCCCTGTGATAAGGTTTGTTGTTTATTAGGCAGAAAGGCAAGCATTTGTATAGGACAGGAATGCCCCTTCTCAGGAAGAGCAGAAAGGAACTTGGGCAGTGAGTAGCATGAGGGTGGTGGTGGAAGGGAGGGTGAGAGAGAGAAGATGGCGCAGCTGTTCTGAAAGGCCAGTCTTCCCTGCTTCTCAGGATGAAGTAGCCAGAATGCGATGAGGCCAGGACACGACAAAATAGGAGGACTAGGGACACCAAGGCCACACCACTGCCAGGATAACTCAGAGTATTTCTGACTGCTTCGGTGGCCTGAAGTAGGCAAGACCTGTACTAGGCCTCATTCTCTTGACTGGTAAGGCAGGGTGATGTTGACCTTGCCCTTAGAGCCCTTGGGAGAAGGACTGTAAAATTAAGCCCTCCTTATAGTGTTCTAGTTGCTGAGCTGAGAAGGAGGGATAAATGAAGCGATTCGCTACGCTACCAGTGGGAAGATCTATGTTGTTTTTTCCAGCTTTCTTCTCTGCTACATCCTGGGGCTACTGGTCAACCTCACAGCATCTGTGGGCCTCCCTTTTTGAATTTCTTCAAGTAATTCAAATTCAAGTCGTAGACTGTAATTTTTTCGTTGGGGGAGGGATAATGGACTTCTTTGAGATTCTGATAAAAGCTATGATCCTTTTCTAAGAAAAGGTATGAACCTTTTTCTTAGGTATATCTGTATTAATATGGACATAACACTTCGGGAAAAAGAATTTTGAGCCTTATGGAGAACTTAGTTAAGAACCCTGGTAAAAGAACTACCTGTACTTCTGAGTAGAAGGACTGGGGGAATGTGTGTGGCTCTTATTTCTCTATTGTCCCATCAGGAAAAATGCCCTGTCCCTATTCTACAGGAGCCACTCTTAGCTGCAAGAATCTTTCCAAGCACAAAAGCAGGCAGCTGAGCTACCAGGCAGTGGGCAGGAAATCTGGCCTTCATCCTAATCCTTGGCCACACGGCCTGACCTGCTGGCTCAGCATTGGTTAAGTCACAGCAGGACTCCTCAAGGTTAACAGTAATACCACAGAGTCAGAGTGCTATGTCCTGGAGCCCATGGGGAATGGGAGGTAGGAGGGAGAGACCGTGACTTTTCAGAGCCAAGAGCCAGAACAATCACTAATCCCATATAGTTCCCAGTTGCCTGCCACTGCTGTGATTGGAAATCTGGATGTATTTTTTATGTAAGCAGATCTGCAATCACTTTGTTTTGTGTCTCCCATATAAGGTGCTGGGGGGTAGGGAGTATGGAGGCCTTTGCATGATAATGGTGAGGACATTCTGGGGTCTGAGGCTTCCAGTGCAGAGCAGGTCAGAGGGTCTGTCTTTGGCTGAAGGGTTTATCTTGGTGACTGGTACTGGAAAAATTGCTTGGGAGTCTAAGGTCCTACAGTGGTGAGGGTAAGTCACCAATCAGTATTATTTTTCTTTCAGGTCTCTTAACCTTCATCAACTGTGCCTATGTCAAGTGGGGAACCCTGGTACAAGATATTTTCACCTATGCTAAAGTACTGGCGCTGATCGCGATCATCATTGCAGGCATTGTTAGACTTGGCCAGGGTAAGAAATAATATTAGCAGCAACTAATCTTTGTTAAGCATTTTCTGTGAGCCACACTCCTCTAAGTGCTCTTCGTGCATTATCTCATTTCTTATAATAACCTTATTTGGTAGGCACTATTATTATCCACATTTTATAGATGAGGAAACAGGCTGCAGAATTAAGTATCTTGGGCTGGGCGGGGTGGCTCATGCCTATAATCCCAGCACTTTGGGAGGCCATGGCAGATGGATCCATGAGGTCAGGAGTTCAAGACCAGCCTGGCTAAGATGGTGAAACCCCATCTTGACTAAAAATACAAAAATTAGCCGGGTGTGGTGGTAGGTGCCTGTAATCCCAGCTACTTGGGAGGTTGAGGCAGGAGAATCGCTTGAACCCAGGAGGCGGTGGTTGCAGTGAGCCAAGATCGCACCACTGCACTTCAGCCTGGGCGACAGAGCGAGACTCCGTCTCAACAAAAAAAAAAAAAAAAAAAAAAAAGATTTAATTATCTTGCCCAAGTCGCTACTGGCAAGTAGAGGAGCTGAAATTTGTATCCAGGACAACTGACCCAAAGTCTGTCCTTTAACTTTCATTCACACTGCCTCCCAGAGGAGGCTGATCTTGGCAAAAGGGTTGACAGCCATGCCCTGGGAGCTGGCTTTGGCAGATTGCGATAGGAGGCAGGAATCAGGCAGCCTGCAGAGCAGAGCAGAACTGCATTGTTTCTATTCTCCAGCCTTTCTGCTCTATGGTGGTTTCTTATCCTAGAAAGCTACCCTGGACCCTTCCTGTCAAGATCCCCATCTATGTCATTAGGATGCAGGGCATTCTGGTCTATCTCTGTAGACGTCTCTCTACTGTTTCCTGTTCCCTTACTGGTACTCTTGCTGCCAAAGGTGTTGTAGGCCACTTACCTGCTATTATATTACCATATCCTCTCAGTCCTTTACTTGATCATCGTGAAGTGGGAGAATAAGCCACTAATCCCCTGCCTTCCAATGTTCTTGGGTTCCAGGAGCCTCCACTCATTTTGAGAATTCCTTTGAGGGTTCATCATATGCAGTGGGTGACATTGCCCTGGCACTGTACTCAGCTCTGTTCTCATACTCAGGCTGGGACACTCTCAACTATGTCACTGAAGAGATCAAGAATCCTGAGAGGTAGGTACTGCACCACCAATTTTCCATAGCAGTGATAGCCATCATTTAATGAGCTACTACTCTGTGACAGACAGCATATCACAACCATCAATGAGGTTAATTTTATCAGCCTCATTTTAATAGATGAGAGGCCTGAGGCTCAGAGAAGTAACTTGTCTATGATCATAGTAACAGGGCTAAAATATGAACTTTCTCATGTATGCTTTGTAAGTTTTTTTAAATGCATTTTTACATTTGTTCATTAATTTCTGCATTAATTAAAGCAGGTTGTATTATATGCTTATGTATGTTTTTAAAACAGATTTTCCTTGATAGATATTTCATCCACCCTTATCCCCACATACATAGCTTTGGGATATAGACATCCAGAAACCTTCCTATGTTTCCCTCTGATCCCTTCCTTGTTTCCTAAATTCATATTGACATTGTGGTATAGTTTCAGTCATTCAATTAAGTCACCCCACCATTATTGCTCTGTAGTCTATATATAGAGTGAAAAGAGCACTGGATAGGAAGACAAGGACCTAGAGTTTGTCTTTCCACTGACTTGTGGGCTGACCTTGAGGGAGTTGCCCAGCCATCTCTTTGTCTGCTTCCTTATCTGTAATTGAGGGGGTTAAATTCTGTGATCTCCATGGCCTTTCTTGGCTCTAAAATTCTATGATTCTGGGAACTAAGATTTGCCAGGGAATGGAGTTTTTTAAGAGAGAGTCTTGCTCTATTTCCTAGGCTGGAGTATAGTGGTGCAATCTTGGCTCATTGCAACCTCTGCCTCCCAGGTTCAAGTGATTCTCCTGCCTCAGCCTCCCAAATAGCTGGAATTACAGGCGCCTGCTACCGCGCCTGGCTAATTTTTGTATTTTTAGTCAAGATGGGGTTTCACCATGTTGGCCACGCTGGTCTCGAACTCCTGACTTCAGGTGATCCGCCTGCCTTAGCCTCCCAAAGTGCTGGGATTACAGGCGTGAGCCACCGTGCCCAGCTCTCTGTAAATGTTTAAGTCAAAAGAATCACAATTCTTATACCAATAAACTCCTTTTGGCTTGAGAAACAGAAGAGCACTCTTGGTACACAACTAGTGGTAACGCTATGGGAGCAGAGATAACAGAAGCAGGATGAAGGCCTGGGTGGTGCTTCCACCTACCGGACAGAAGCTGCATGACTCTGTATTTGCAGAGTATTTGCCCCACTTTGTGCTTCTTTTGGGCAGCCTTACTGTTAAGGATGTTTATAAAGTTCATGGCTTTATTGGGCTACAGGGACCTTGAGAACTCTTTGCATCATTCTTTTGCCCACCAGTTAGGATGGCTCCTGAGGTTCTCAAACTGAGGAAGGGGTGGGCAGACATATCTTCCAGGTTGCTTGTCAGATACACACACTTCTCTTCCTACTGAAGGCCTATCTCTGAAGATGTTAAATTTCACAATTTGCCTCCATAATTTCCTTTTATATTTCTCAACCTTGAGACAAAATTGCCAATGTTGATAATCTTACAGATGGAATCCTGACACCAAAAGATCTTTGGAGTATAAAACAAAATAACCTCCCATTTTCCTGTGCATTATTATGCTGGGACACTCTTTGTTAATCCTTTTTTTTTTTCCAGACAGGGTCTGACTGCCTTGCCCAGGCTGGAGTGCAGTGGCCCAGTCATGGTTCACTGCAGCTTTGACCTCCTCGGGCTCAAGTGATCCTTCCACCTCAGCCTCCCAAGTAGCTGGGATTACAGGCATGCGCCACCATGCTTGGCTAATTTTTTGTTTTGTTTTTTGAGACAGAGTCTCACTGTTACCCAGGCTGGAGTGCAATGACACAATTTTGGCTTACCGCAACCTCCACCTCCTGAGTTCAAGTGATTCTCGTACCTCAGCCTCCCAAGTAGCTGGGACTACAGGTGCGTGCCACCATGCCCAGCTAATTATTTATATTTTTAGTAGAGACAGGGTTTTGCCATGTTGGCCAGGCTGGTCTTAAACTCCTGACCTCAGGTGATCCACGTGCCTCGGCCTCCCAAACTGCTGGGATTACAGGCGTGAGCCACCACGCCCGGCTGCTTGGCTAGTTTTTTGTACAGACAGGGTTTTGCCATGTTGCCCAGGCTGGTCTCCAACTCCTGGACTCAAGCCATCTGCCCACCTTAGCCTCCCAAAGTGTTGGTACTACGGGCATGAGCCACTGATCCCAGCTGCACAGTCCTATCTCCTAATATGATATTCCTTTCCCCTAATGTTCTTTAGTTCTTAAGTGTTTAGTTCAGAGCTTCAGCCACTATCCAGGGCACCGTCAAAGACAAATGCATTGAGGAAATGTAGCAAGAGTCTCCATCCCTGGAAAGACTGGTGTGGCAGGGAGAGTCTAAGGATTAAAGGAGAGATAGGGATATGACTGTGGGACTAATGTGTATTTTATTCTATTTGGCTGTAGGAACCTGCCCCTCTCCATTGGCATCTCCATGCCCATTGTCACCATCATCTATATCTTGACCAATGTGGCCTATTATACTGTGCTAGACATGAGAGACATCTTGGCCAGTGATGCTGTTGCTGTGGTAAAGGATTTTCACTAGCAGGTTGAGGGTGACTTGTGGGGTACTGGGTATATTCTGGCTCTTGAAAGTCCTGGAAAGGGGGTAGATGGCCTTGAAAGGAGTTCATTTCGAATATGGGGCTTGCAAGAAGGTCCTGTTACCCCCACTGTGGAAGAAGAGTTGGAGTCCTAATAAGGGGAATCTGGGGCATGCCCATCCATGTCTTTCATCCCTTTTAGATCCTGCTAATGACTCTTCCATTCTTTTCCCTTAGACTTTTGCAGATCAGATATTTGGAATATTTAACTGGATAATTCCACTGTCAGTTGCATTATCCTGTTTTGGTGGCCTCAATGCCTCCATTGTGGCTGCTTCTAGGTAAGAGTGGCATCTTTTGAAGGGCTATGGCAGTGGACGGTAGAACTTACAGGACCTGGACTTTGATTACCTGTGTTTTCCAACTGATACCATAACCTCTTTCTTCTTGTTTCTAGCAGAAGCCTGCAGTTGTCCTTAATCTTAATACTGAGCTCCAGTCTATATTATCCACTTTTGAAGGAAGGGATGGCAGAGAGGGAGGGCCATGTGGCAGGTGAACCAGGCTGCATCGTGTCCACCAATTTTCTCAGCTTCCCCTATCTTACCTGACATAGGCTTTTCTTTGTGGGCTCAAGAGAAGGCCATCTCCCTGATGCCATCTGCATGATCCATGTTGAACGGTTCACACCAGTGCCTTCTCTGCTGTTCAACGTAAGTCAGCTCAAGGATGAGACTGAAAATGATTGGGGGGGGGTGGGGGGAAACTTTAGTAACAGCAGAAGCGACTGTTCTAGCTTCCTGAAAGCTCTAAAAGAAATTCCAATAGAAAAACTATTGGTGGATCAGAATGTTCACCATGGGCAAGGCACTATGCCAACCGCTACAGGCACTACAGGGAAAATCCAAATGCTCTAAGGAATGGTACACCTCTGCTCTAAGAGAAGCCATAAAGTACATGGAATACATTGTAATGATTGATTGCCATGACAGATAGTGAGTGATACGGTGTTTAAGAAATGATCACTTCCATGGGAGGAGAGGGTGAATGAAGAATTACGTCTAGAAGTGTATGTGTGTCTTAAAATCCACCAAAATGTTCTCAGAAAAAAAAAAAAGGTGCATCTTGATGGCTAGGGTTGCAAATGGTAGAGATGGGCTTTAGGTAGGAGAAATAATATCAGAAAATCCTGTGGCAAAGCAGTATGGGTTTTAATACAGGTTGAATATCCAAAATCTGCAATGCTCTAAAAATCTGAAACTTTTTGAGTGTTGACTTGACAGTGGAGCATTTTGGATTTTCAGAATCAGGATATTCAACATGCAGGAGGAGATAAGAGCTGGATAATGTAGGTTGGAGCCATTATGGAAATGGTCCTATGCAAGACTTTTGAGGGATTGTTTCAAGCTTGCTTTATACAGGGTTAGCTTGAAGAATGGGTTGAAAAACCAGTTGAGACTACTGACTTGTAACAGAGGGGATAAGGTATTGAAACTAGAGTGTTAAAGGGATTAAAAACAGAAGAGGACCAGGAGACTCTGAGGATCGACGGGGGATGGATTTGGGAGGTATAAAGGGCGTGAAAAGCCTTTGGAGTAACAAAGGCCCTGAGAAGAGCTGACTTGGGCTCACGCTTACAGGGTATCATGGCATTGATCTACTTGTGCGTGGAAGACATCTTCCAGCTCATTAACTACTACAGCTTCAGCCACTGGTTCTTTGTGGGGCTTTCTATTATGGGTCAGCTTTATCTGCGCTGGAAGGAGCCTGATCGACCTCGTCCCCTCAAGGTATGGCAACTCCATCCTACCTCTGCTCCATCTGAAACAGCTAGAGTTGCTGCTACAGGGGACTATTACAAGACACTTTATTTAGAAACCTTTGCCTGGGACTTGGTGGTTAGTACTGTGTTGAAATTAAAGGTATGGAAAGAAGGCTCAGTGCGCTAATCCTTATGGGAGGTGTTATTTTAGCTGTTAAGAGTCCTGAGTGGTCCACCCCAGTTGTGTTTCCTGTGCCCTCAGCTCAGCGTTTTCTTCCCGATTGTCTTCTGCCTCTGCACCATCTTCCTGGTGGCTGTTCCACTTTACAGTGATACCATCAACTCCCTCATCGGCATTGCCATTGCCCTCTCAGGCCTGCCCTTTTACTTCCTCATCATCAGAGTGCCAGAACATAAGCGACCTCTTTACCTCCGAAGGATCGTGGGTAAGCATTGCATCCTTAAATCAGCTCAGCTATTGTAGAGCTTGGTTTTTGCCTTTTTCTGTAAATCTTGCCTCCAAAGACATTTTTGCCATAGCCCCTTCTTATGAACCCTTCGGCTTAATGGAATCACTCCCCTCAGGCCCAGTTCCATTCAATGACACTTGAACTCAGCCCAGTTGACCTCTTCTCAATTCCAACTCAAAGTTTTCTTTGTAGGGTCTGCCACAAGGTACCTCCAGGTCCTGTGTATGTCAGTTGCTGCAGAAATGGATTTGGAAGATGGAGGAGAGATGCCCAAGCAACGGGATCCCAAGTCTAACTAAACACCATCTGGAATCCTGATGTGGAAAGCAGGGGTTTCTGGTCTACTGGCTAGAGCTGAGGAAGTTGAAAAGGAAAGCTCACTTCTTTGGAGGCACCTGTCCAGAAGCCTGGCCTAGGCAGCTTCAACCTTTGAACTTACTTTTTGAAATGAAAAGTAATTTATTTGTTTTGCTACATACAGTTCCAGACTTTTAAAGCGGACAATAGAGGAGACTGGGGAGAGGAGCATGTCAGGTGTGGGCTTGGTGGTTTTAGAAGCACCTGAGTGCGCCTACCTACTCCTCTTTTCTTTTAAAAGGGCCCACAATCCTCCAATTATCTCCTTTAGAGAGACATCAAACTATCACAGGTGCTGGATGACAATAAAAAGTTATGTTCCTAAAGTCTGAGTGACTTCACTTTATATAGTATCTCTAGGACAGCTCCCATTAGCCTAGAAACACAAAGACTAAAAACAATCTTATGCTTGAAAGTAGATCCATCTTTTCTCTCTCAAGCTAGCTGCTGAAGGCTGATAAACCAGGCTCTACACAAAGGCAGACAACAGAACACTTCAACTGCTCTAGTGAAATGTTGGGTTGTTACATAAAAATGACATGAACTTCCTTTTTGAGACAGGATCTTGCTCTGTGGCCAAGGCTGGAGTACAGCAGCATGATCTTGGCTCACTGCAGCCTCAACCTCCTGGGCTTAAGCTATCCTCCCACCTCAGCCTCCCAGGTAGCTGGGACTATGGGCAAGCACCACCATGCTCAGCTAACTTTTTAGCAGAGACAAGGTCTCGCCATGTTGCCCAGGCTGGTCTCGAATTCCTGGACTCAAGTGATTCACCCACCTCAGCCTCCCAAAGTGCTGAGATTATAGGTGTGAGCCACTGTGCCCAGCCTGGAACTTTCATTCTTAATTATCACTAAGAATTTGCACACATCTACTTCTTGAAATTTTTAAAGTAATCTTGGAATCAAGAAATGCAGTTATTATATTTAGATACAATCTCAACATTCAACTTATCAGTCACACCTCTAGACTGCAATCCAAATGTGGATAGAACAACACATGTATGGGTTGGAAGTTTAAACTCTTTTTTTTTTTGAAACAGAGTCTTACTCTGTTGCCCAGGATGGAGTGCAATGGCTTGATCTTGGTTCACTGCAACCTCTGCCTCCGAGGTTCAAGTGATTCTCCTGCCTCAACTGCCCAAGTAGCTGGAACTACAGACGTGTACCACCACGACTGGCTAATTTTTGTATTTTTAGTAGAGACAGGGTTTCACTATGTTGGCCAGGCTGGTCTCAAACTCCTGACCTCAGGCCATCTGCCCGTCTCAGCCTCTCAAAGTGCTGGGATTACAGGCGTGAGCCACTGTGCCTGGGTGGAAGTTTAAACCCTTAATGCCAGGTTAAAACATTATATTTTCCAATGCCATGGGCCAGTAAAAGCAATCATGACCCACTCTATTCTTCGGTTTTCTTTTTTTTAGACAGAGTCTCCCTCTGTTGCCCAGGCTGGAGTGCAGTGGCGCAATCTTGGCTCACTGCAACCTCCACCTCCCGGGTTCAAGCAATTCTCCTGCCTCAGCCTCCCGAGTAGCTGGGACAATAGGTGTGCGCCACCACGTGTGGCTATTTTTGTATTTTTAGTAGAGATGAGGTTTCCCCACGTTGGCCAGGCCGGTCTCAAACTCCTGACCTCAGGTGATCCGCCCGCCTCGGCCTCCCAAAGTCCTGGGTATTCTTCAGTTTTCTGAAGCACACACTCATTTCCCTGTTCAATAAGTATCAGGAAGCAGCATGTAGTACAGAGGTTTACTAACTCTGTGAATGGGAAGATCACTTGGCTACCCAGTGCTCTCTTATAAACATGAGTATAAGAGTGTTTCGTGAAATTGTTTTTAAAATGAACATCTCTGTGTGCCACAGTTCCTAGGACTGGGGCAAGGACACAGTGTCAAGTCTTGTTTTGAGGATGAGTCTTTGATGAGACAGAGTTCCTGCCAGAATGCGCATGGAACGTAAGTCAGCCAAGCGTGTCGCGCCAGGGATACTTTGACTTTGGTTTGCTGCTGCTGCTGCTGCTGCTAGGGATATTGGGAGGGTTATTATTTCCAGGTTGTAGGAGAGGGTTGTGGGTAAAGGTCTGTCGTAAGGGACCTGAGGGGAGAAGAGAAAACAAATCTCAACGAAGAACAGAAAGAAGAAACAAAAGACAGAATTTTGGCCTGAAAGGACTATTTACCCCTGGCTGCTAGCTCCAAGTGATTCTGCATGCGTTGTTCACGCTCTCGCAGCTGACGCGCCATTTCAGCATTTTTCCAGCCTGTGTAAAGAGGAGCAAGAGAGTCACTTGCATTCCTATTTGTAGACCCCTCTCCCTAGTCCTGTTTCACAGAGGACGAGCCCTTACCTTTTTTGAAGCTCTCTAGGAAGCCTTCCCGTGGAGGTAATTTGTCAGGGTCATGTACAACACGCTGGGGGATTTTAAGTACAGTGCGTACTGCTGGAATCCGGAGACAAGATACTTGGCCCAGGGAAAACAAATTGGAGGAGAGCCAGTACATAAACACTGCCTGGGTGAGAACACAGAGAGGGGACTCAGAAGCTGTATCCCTGGTCAGCTTGCTAGGTGGCTAGGCTAGGCAGAAGGCCTTGGAGCCAGCCCATAAGGCATTACATACCGTGGGGAAATGCATGGTTACGGGCAAGGCTATCAGGGGCATCACTCTGATCACATTTCTCATCCACTGAAGGTCAGAACTTTGCACACCTGTCTCAGCACCTAGCTGCCAAAAGAAGCGGGGTAGAAAAGTCGGGAAAGCTGTCAGTTTCAGTGAACCTGTCTCTAATCTCTTATCCATCAACTCTTTCTCCAGCAAGTGAAGGATGACCATTCTGTACAATTACTTTACCCTCCAATCCCAGTTCACTTTGCAGGCCTGGCACTTGGCCAATCTGGGCTTACCTCAAGGACAGCCCACATTGTAGCAGTGACTACCAGTGGTAACACGTAGGTGGGATCGGATACCGTGAGATCCTGGAACCACCAGAGGCCACCTGTCTGCAGGCTGGCCACAGGAAGGTTGGCCATCTCTCTCAAAGCAATGAAGAAGGAGAGGAAGATTGGGGCCTATTACACAAGATAAACAGTGTCAGCATGCTTTACCAGAGGAAACATTTTCATCACCCCACTACTGAAAGCCATGTATAATCCACCACCACCTGTTTTTTTGGGGGGCCTGGGGCACATCAAACACAGAGAGGAAATTTGATGGGTACAGGATGAAATAAGGAAGGAAATGTTTTTGCTCACCTGAGTCAGAGGAAGAATGAGAGGTTTAAAGAGTTTAATACCATGTTTTTTCTGGTAAAATGCCATCTCCGAGGAAGCCTTGTAAACTGTGAGGTGAGAGGAAATTAATGGTTGGCGTAACAGTTACATCAGTGGAGGTGAACATCCTCATCATCTACCAGGCCTGTGAAATTTCTAACCAACCCTGGCCAGTCCTTGGGAGCATTAGGCCCAAGAAACAGATAAATCTTTAGAACTTTCCCGACTGTGGCAACTTCTGATTCACATTGTTCCTTTCCCCCAGCAGAGTGTAAGGAAAAGTGCAAATGTGGTCCTCTCCCATGGTCATTCTGCAGCTGACTCACACTCAGTATCGTCTCCCGCCAACTTGGCCTCTCTGACTCGACTGGAAAACTTCTGGATCTCTGGCAAGTGATTGTGGATCTTGGCTGCCTCTCGCTGGCCCATCACGATGAGAGGAAAAATGAGGCAGCGGGCAAAGACTGTACCTGGAAAATACAAACTAGGATTGGAGTGAAATTAAAGCAGTTCTGCAGCTAGAAGGTTGAAGGTTTTTAGGTCCTTATTGAAAGGGTCTTATTCTTGCCTTGTCCATTCTGTGACTTATGGCTAAGAGGCCCAGAATTAGGGTCAGGGGTATGAATTAGTTGCTTTAAGGCTCAGTTCTCTGATTTGGCATCACAAAAGTATGGCATTAACTTCTCTAAGCAGATGATTAGGAATCCTGTTTGTTTCCTCAAACAAAAAGGTGACAGGAGCACTTTTCTAGATCAATAGCTTCCAAACTTTTCTGTGATCAAAAGAGCCTCCCTGCTCCATCAAACTGTACATGTAGCCCCAATGTACAAAAAAAAAAAAAAAATGCTGCCCTGAGCAAACGAAAAGCCTGGCCACAGGATTGTTTATGTGGCAGCCTTCACCTTGCTCAGAGGTCCCTTTACAAAACTCTGGGGCTTCCAGGAAGGAAGTCTGAAAGCCATTGTTCTAGAAATCCCTGGAGTAGGAAATAATCTGATGGCCTACTGCTTTAGCTCCTTCATATTTCTTTTCTCACACTTCATTTTTCCTGGTCATTCATTTGTTTTGATTTTTAGATCCCACAAATAAGTGAGAACATGGTGATGTCAAATACGAGACTAGGTTATAGGTTTAGGCTTTATCAACATTATGATGAATGATGTGGAGTAGAAAGAGAAGGGAGCTAAGGATAGAACCCAGACTACTGGCACTGAACGGGTAGGTAGGATAATTTGGAGATGCAAAAGTATGGTCAGAAAGACAGGGAGAAAAATCAGGAAACGTTATCATAAAAGCCAAAGGATTGACTTTATTTTTTATTTTTTTTTTAACAGAGTCTCGTTCTATTGCTCTGTCGCTCAGGCTGGAGTGCAGTGGCGCAATCTTGGCTCACTTCAACCTCTGCTTCCCAGGTTCAAGCGATTCTCCTGCCTCAGCCTCCTGAATAGCTGGGACTACAGGCGCCTGCCACCACACCTCGCTAATTTTTGTATTTCTAGTAGAGATGCGGTTTCACAATATTGGCCAGGCTGGTCTCAAACTCCTGACCTTGTAATCTTCCTGCCTTGGCCTCCCTAAGTGCTGGGATTACAGGCATGAGCCACCACGCCTGGGAAAGGATTGATTTTAAGGTCCAAAGTGTCTAATGCAGAAAGACCAAGTATAATAAAAGTGGATTTAGCAATTAGGTTACTGGCAGTTCAAATGAGGCGATATGAGTAAAAGCCAGATGGCTGAGAGAGTAAATGGAAAGAAGTAGGCTCACTGGATGCAGAGCAATCTTTTAAGTAATAGCTATCAAAAGAACGAAACCCAGTCATTTGTGACAACGTGGATGGAACTGGAGATCACTATGCTAAGTGAAATAAGACAGGCACAGAAAGACGAACATCACCATGTTCTCACTTATTTGTGGGATCTAAAAATCAAAACAAATGAAATCATGGGCAGAGAGTAGAAGGAAGGTTACCAGAGGCTGGGAAGGGTAGTCAGGGTTGGGAATAATTAATGGGTAAAAAAATATTAGAAAGAATAAGATCTACTATTTGATAGCACAACAGGGTGACTATAATCAGTAATAATTGTATATTTTAAAATAAAGAATGTAAAAATTAGCCAGGTGTGGTGGTACACCTGTAGTCCCAGCTACTTGGGAGGCTGAGACATGAGAATCACTTGAACCTGGGAGGTGGAGGTTGCAGTGAGCTGAGATTGGGCCACTGCACTCCAGCCTGGGTGACAGAGCAAAACTCTGTTTAAAAAAATAAAATAAAATAAAATATAAAGTGTAATTGGATTCTTTGTAACTTAAAGGATAAGTGCTTGAGGGGATGGATATCTCATTCTCCATGTGATTATTACACCTTGCAGGCCTGTATCAAAACATCTCATGTAGCCCATAAATATATACACCTACTAGGTATCCACAAACAACAACAAAACAAATAAATAACAGCCATGAAAGGAAGAAGAAAGATAGGGTAGTAGGTGAAGGGGAACTAAGAATGAAGGGAATAAATTTTCCCCCAAGTAACACATGGGTATGCTTGAGCATGCTTACATGTGCAGGGCAGGGCAATAAGGAGGGAAACATTGAAGACACAGGGGAGAGAAGAGATCATTGATGGAGCAAAGTGGCAGAGAGACACATAATTCAAAGCAGAGTTTCAGCCTTTACAAAAGCAATGCGAGTGGCTTCCCAATTTGGGGGTTTAAGTGCCTGACTTGAACCTCTGTTCTTCTAAACCAGGACAGCTTCATGACTGTTATTAAGGTCCCCTGACTCTAACCCCATGTTTGTATTCGAATATCTATACTTCTTGAATCCCAGATGATCTGGTGGTTTTATAATGCTCTTTAAGAAATATAGGTAGACTGCATCTAGGTATCATGTGCCTCTATCACTCATTTGAAATCATCTGCTCTTCTGATCCCAGCGCTTCTGCAACTACTTCCTGAATCCATTCAAATAATTGCCATCTATGAGGTTCTATCCCTAACCCATGTATAGGGTATATTCCCCTTACATGCAGCAATGGCCCCCCACCAAGGTAGGCCCAGGTCAACATGCATAAATTCCAGTAAATTCTGGATCAGTCCCACTGGGGTGTGTGACCCCAGCCCCAGTTCAGCGAAGCTCTGCTCTGCAGCAGCTTGGACTACATCTGCAGTCTCTCCAGAAGCCACCTCAGGTACCGCTGCGGGTGAGGGAGTTGCAGGAACAACAGGAGGGGCCTGAACCTGTGTGAAAGGAAGCCTTGTATATTTATTCAGTAGTGAATACATAGAAAGTGAGACCTTCTTAAAATAACCAGTACTGGGTTCTGTTCTCTCTACTTCTTATTCTTCCAGGTTACCCTAGTGTACATAGAATTCAAGCTTAAAAAGGACATCTCATTTTTATCAATAGGTAGGAAGAGAAGTTACTTTGAGTAAGATTCCATGACTTCCCTTCATGCTGGGAAGTTACTTCTTTTATCACTGTTTCCCAAACTTCAGCCATTTGAATATCACTATTATGATTTTTACCATATATTAACATGAAACAATTACTTTTCTTTAAAACAGCTCAGAAAACCAAATATAACATCTCTCCTGTTGTACTTCCAATCATTTCCCCACTGAATTGAAAATTCATCCCAAGCAGAGATGCTACCATTTTGGAGAGCTGTGTGGAGCGTGGACAAGAACTCTGCTTCACATTCCCCCTGCTCCCAAACAAAACAGAATATGAAGCCAACCGGGAAACACCACTCCTAATATTGCAGGAACGAAAGGCCTCTTACCTGGACTTCTGCAAACGAGATGGCAGAGGTACTGAGGCTGCGGGGGCCGGAAGCCGCAAGGAAGAGGTAGTGTGGGCGACAGCAGCACCGGGCTGCTGGGAATAGGAGCCGTGCGGTCAGCGGTTTCCCGAGCCATTGCGAGGGCCCTGCGACGCTGTGGACCTAAGCGTGTAAAAGGATGATGGAGCCCCTTTACCGGGAGCAGAAGTCCTCGCGTGGGGGCAAAGGGGATTCATTATGCTAACTTCCCAAAAAGCAAGCAGCCCGGCCACTACACGTGCAGACATTGCTATTACCGCGCGCAGACCGCTAGCCCGAAGGCATGCAGCTGGTGATGCCTGCAAAGCAAAGCTTGAATCCGGGTTCGCCGCATCTCAGTTATCGTAGACCCGCATCGGGGGGCCCCTGAGAACTAAGCCGAGGTGCTCTCGCCAGGGGCGAAGCCAATTCCAGAAGCTGACACCGGGCTGCTGGGCCCACAGTGTTGGGGACTAACCCTAGCGCGTCCTCACAAGACCCGAGGTCATGACATTCAGGTCCCGGTGAGCGGGTCAGCGTCTGCTCATATCCCTAGCACGAGCTGTCCTGGGGCTTGGTTCACTGGGTCAGGGCAGCATCCCGGTGCTCAGCCCCGGGGCATCCTTACCCGACGCCCGGACTGTAGCAGGCGCAGAACCTCCCGGCGTCCGCACATCAGTCCCATCGCCATTTTGTCCGGAAGAGGACTTACTTTTGCGCCTGCGCACTAAGAACCACAATCCCGCGAGAGGAAGCACTTTTGGAAGCGGGCATGAAGCCAGAGTTGTTGCCGTAGATCAGGTGGTAAAAGAGAACGGAGCTTGGCGGCCATATTTGAAGTGGGTAAAAATCTGAGAAGCCGTGTTACCATGAGCACGCAGAGAGCTTTTTCTGGAGATTGAAAGGAAGTGGAAGAGCCAGGTTAGCTATCATCGTAAGCTATCATCGTTTGTGATGGCGTAAACCTGGGTAATTTTCCTCTAATGTCGCGATTGTCCTCTGATTCGTCAGTTTAAAAATAGCCTCAGAAAAGTCTTGGCTGTACTTGCAGAGGATTTTTCCCACTCAATGATGTTCGATTCTTTTGATTCTTATTGCTAGGTAAATTGTAATCGCAGGTCCAATGAAATTTGAGGGTAGTCTAGAGTCTGACAGAAATGAAGAGAAGGCAGCCGCTGGGAAATATTTTCCTCCCAGATAAAAAGACAAAGCTTCCAGAGACTTCACCTTTCCATTTTTTCTTCTGTAAGTGGGGTGGTGTGAGGACTGACCATGAGGGGACAAGTTTCGAGATGAAAAGCTCACGTGCAGGCCGGGCGCGGTGGCTCAGGCCTGTAATCCCAGCACTTTGGGAGGCCGAGGCGGGTGGATTACGAGGTCAAGAGATAGAGACTATCCTGGCCAACATGGTGAAACCCCATCTCTACTAAAAATACAAAAATTAGCCGAGCATTGTGGTGGGCGCCTGTAATCCCAGCTGCTTGGGAGGCTGAGGCAGGAGAATCACTTGAACCCGGGAGGCAGAGGTTGCAGTGAGCCGGGATTGTGCCAGTGCACTCCAGCCTGGCCATAGAGTGAGACTCCATCTCAAAAAAAAAAGAAAAACTCACGTGCTGAAGATGGTTGAGGGCAAAGATAGAAAACACCCAAATACTTGATATCATTGAGCTGATGTACCATGCTTGGAACCATCTATCTCCAGACTTTGTTGTGTAAGGTAATTAAAGGTCTTGGCAGGGTGCAGTGGCTCACGCCTGTAATCTCATCACTTTGGGAGGCCAAGGCTGGTGGATTACTAGGTCAAGAGATGGAGACCAGCCTGGCCAACATGGTGAAATCCCGTCTCTACTGAAAATACAAAAAACAAAAAAACTAGCCGGGCGTGGTGGTGCGTACCTGTAGTCCCAGCTACTAGGGAGGCTGAGGCAGGAGAATTGCTTGAATCCGGGAGGTGGAGGTTGCAGTGAGCTGAGGTGGAGCCACTGCACTCCAGCCTGGGCGACAGAGTGAGACTCCATCTCAAAAAAAAAAAAAAAAGGAAAAAAAAAGATAATTAAAGGTCTTTACTGTTTAGACTCTAAATCTGTTGCTTGGGTGTTCTGTTTCTTGAAGTTAAAAGCATTCATCTCCAGGGAAAAAACTTACTGCTCAGAAAAGTGGAGTTGATTATATTTGAACCCTTATAAAGTCTCTCAATATGCAGATTACTTTCTAAACAACAAACTATAGTTTCAGAAAGATACAATAACCCGAAATTATTTCGGTGACTGCTAATTTGGGACGATTTTGAATGTACCTGACAGATATGGCAAAAATAGGAGGCAAAGAAATATAATACTGATTTAGTAATAATTAGTGGTATGAGCTAACACTTGCATATGTTGGATGCTATTGTAAACATCAATAGATTTTTGATATGGAAATACTGATTTTTTTTTAGAGATTACTTTTAGAACTCAATACAATTAGAAGTAATTGCAAATATACAGCTACAGAACACTTGGCAGGGTGACTATCTTATGGTACACTGCTACTTTGGTGACCCCAAATGAACCAGGCTTCACAATATTTGCACCTTTAGGAGTTCTATTCTCTTGAGTCTGGTTGGCCCTGTAACTTGCTTTAATCAATAGTAGAATGCATTGGAAGCGATGTTATGCCAGTTTGGGACTATGCCTTAAGAAGGCCTGATAGCTTCTGCTTTTGCATTCAGGGGAAAGCCAGCTGCTGTGTTAGAATTTTGACTTCTCAGACTTACTGCCTGTGAAAAGCCCAACCAACCACTTGAAGAAGAACGGAGGTTTGGGCTAACAGCCGCAGTTGAACCCGCAGCCAGCAGTCAACACCAGCTTTTGCCAGCCACGTGAAGAAGGCCATTTAAAACGTGGATTCTCCAGCCCATTGGAGCCACCTCAGGTGACTCCGTGTGGAGCAAAGAAAGGCTATTTGAGCCCACATTGCAAAATTACAAGCAAATAAATAAAATTATTGTGGTTTTAAGCCACTAAGTTTTGGAGTACTTTGTTGTTCAATAATAGCTGAAATGTACAGGCAAACTTGGAAGATACTATGGGTTGGGTTCCAGACCACTACAATAAAGCCAATATCATAACAAAGTGAGTCACAGGGAATTTTTTGTTTTGCAGTGCATATAAAAGTTATGTTGGGCTGGGCATGGTGGCTCAGGCCTGTAATCTCAGCACTTTGGGAGGCTGAGGCACGTGGATCGCTTGAGCTCAGGAGTTTGAGACCAACCTGGGTAACATGGTAAGACCCCATGTCTTAAAAAAAAAAAAATACTAGGCCAGGTGCAGTGGCTCATGCCTGTAATCCCAGCACTTTGGGAGGCCAAGGCCAGTGGATCACTTGAGGTCAGGACTTTGAGACCAGCCTGGCCAACGTGGTGAAACCCATCTCTATTAAAAATATAAAAGTTAGCCAAGGGTGGTGGTGGGCATCTGTAATCCCAGCTACTTGGGAGGTTGAGACAGGAGAATTGCTTGAACCTGGGAGGTGGAGGTTGCAGTAAGCCAAGATCGTGCCATTGCACTCCAGCCTGGGCAACAAGAGCGAGACTCCGTCTCAAAAAAAAAAAAAAAAAAAAAAAAAAAAAAAAAGAAAAAGTTATGTTTACCCTATACTGCAGTCTCTTAAGTGTGCAATAACATGTTTAAAAAACAATGTACATACCTTAATTTGAAAATATTTTATTACTTAAAAATGTTGACGATCATTTGAACCTTCAGCAAGTCATATTTTTCCTTGATGTTGGTTGACTGATCAGGGTGGTGGTTGCTGAAGGTAGGGGTGGCCTAAAATAAGACAGTGAAATTTGCTCCATCAATTGACTGCACCTTTCATGAAAGATTTCTCTATAGCATGTGATGCTGTTTGATAGGATTTTACCCACAGTAGAATTTCTTTCAAAATTGGAGTTAGTCCTCTCAAACCCTGCTGCTGCTTTGTCAATTAAGTTTATGTGATATTTTAAATCTTTT